GTCATTTGATTTTCATCCAATCTGCTTTTAAACTTTGTGTTTTCAAAACATGAGCTGTGAACATTTCCCAGCTTCCATTAGTCATCATCGGACACGTCAGATCCCGGCACCGTCTCCGCACACAGCCGTCGGTATAGCGAAGCGCCCCGCAGTAATCAAGCGCTAGGATTGTGAGATATAACAAGCACACTTCACAGTGTGCCTAACAAGCACACTTCACACACTAATCAGCTCGAGTGGACATGTATTGCATCCACATCCCTGTGTTTAGTTTGTGCCTCGTGGATATGAGCCCTGGCTTAGAAATTATCTAGATAGTATCAATAGATCAGGTTATCAGAGACTCAGCCAAAAGGGATGAGTATGTCGAGATATAGTGGGGAGGGATGAGTCCTGCGGTGCCTATTGATAAAATAAAGTGCTGAATGCAAAGTGAGGGTCTGAAGTAATCATAGTGAAAGCACGAACACACACACACACACATACGTTTTTTTCTCCGTAACTCGAATGCTTAATGCAATGATCTCCCTGTAGGCTTCTAAGGCCTTATCTTTACCTCCAAAGGTGTTGCCATTTCATAAATAGATTTTGTCAAAATACAGATTGGGGGAAAAAACTTTATTACAAAATGTCACTAACAGTCTGATGTGCACTGCTAAAAACCCTCAAATTTGCTCAAAAAGTTGCATTTAATATCAGCTATTTAATCTGTATCCAAGTATCAGCGTCAGACTACTGTGATGTAATGCTCGCACGCACAACCCCCCCAGTACCACCACCGGGCTGCAGGACGGACACCCTCCTAAAACTCCCATAATCTCATGTCAGACATGCTGGATACGAGCCTATCATTGTGGTCTGTAATCCACAGCTAAGACTTCACACACCATGCTCCCACTTATCTGGACGGACACACACACACACACACACACACACACACACACACACACACACACACTCTGAAACACATAAAGAATAGACAGTCTGTGGTTGCTTCACTGGATTTGTATATCAGAGGTGATATAATGCATTTAAAGGCAACACATGCATATACATTAAAACACTGTCTAGTCAATATATGAGCTGAAAAGCACACTGCACTGTTTAAACTAAACTAAAGACAAATGCAGTCTGCTCAGAAAGAATATAAGAAAAAAAGAATAACAGAAAAGAAAGAAAGATGTTCCAATTTTGTGAACATCTAAGACAATGACAGACTTCCAGTAAATGTATTATAGAGAGAACAGGCCAAGTATGTGAGTGTGTGTATGCAAATTCTGATAAATGTGCCGACGTATTTTTCCCATAAAAAATACAATAAAAGAACAAAAACACAAATTAGTGTGTAAATACATTTGTTGGGCTAAAAAAATGTGATGAAAAGCTTGGAACCGTCTCACAGTAGCTATATCTCGCAGTGTTTAATTTAGATAAACTATATAAAAAGAAAAAAATGCATGTTCAAAATGGTGCTCAGAGAGGACAAAAGATAATCTAGAGCTGGGCATGCACAAACTACTGAATGTCTCCAACACATTTTGCTGTCAAGACATTCAATCAATCTCCAGTCCAGGAAACAATAGGTCCCATTATCATTCAGATACATGCAAAACACCATGTTAAAAAAAAGAAGAAAAGAACAAGAGAGACATAAAAAGGCACATCGGATGAGGTACCCCTCAGAGAGAGAGAGAGAGAGAGGGAGAAAGAGAGAGAGAGAGAGAGAGAGAGAGACACAGGGTGCAGGACCCACACGGTGTAGTTCCAGCCAATTGCATTCCAGAGAAGTGACCATGGCCAGCGATAAACAAAGCACCATAGATCATTCCTCCCTCAAACGGAGCCGAGCGCTGGAGGCAGCGGAAGGGAGGACGGTCAGACAGAGAGGGAGAGAGCGAGGGAGTGAGAGAGGGAGAGAAGCAGACAGAGACAGAAGACGAGCAGAAGAGAACAGAAGAGCTCACCACCTGCATGCATCTGCCCCTCTGCCATCCTCTGGTGCAACATTTTGATGCCCTTTTTGCAACTGGAGTGCAGTTAAAGCCGGCCACACAGCACGCCTGCAGATTTACTCTCTGTGAACGCGAGAGTGAGCCAAAGAGAAAGACAGAAAGAGAGGACGGAGGAGGGCTGCAGCTGCTGCTTTCTCCCACTGCCACAGTGCAGATGCATTGTATAGAAAATGAAACACAACAAAATATCCTTCAATTGTTCCCATTCTCGTAAGGGAACAAGAGAAGGGCATTCAGCACTTACCCACTCCCAGACACAAGAGTCAGATTCAGTGCTCATTTGAGCCCAGTGTGCCTCACAACAGAAACTCAGATATTCCTCCAGAACAGACGTGCAAAGAGGAGCAGTGAGGTTCTCCCTCTTTTGTTTGTGAATCTGCCTGGCTAGGTTTTCTGTATTTGCATCAGCCGGCTTTTTACGGCTTTGAAGCAGGTGGATGACAAAAACATCAATCTCTCCAGGCTCACTGTGTGGCATGCATGCTTTGACACACTCCCCTCACCGGCTCCGTACAGTATAATCACACATTCCTATTCTCTCTCTCGCGCGCGCACAGCTCCGCGAATAAAATACGGGCTCAGGAGGAAACTGGAAGACAAGTGGCTATTGTTGGAGTGCGCTTCTGTATAATCATGTTGTGATTGGATTAAAATAGGAATTTGCTACATCTCCAGAGTTCCATTTGCCATATGCTGAGGCAATTTTATGCACGGCATTGGCTGAGATTTAAGTTTGCACAGACAATAACCATGAGCCAGAGTCACAAAGCCTCTCCTGTTCAAACCACCTTGTAACCTTAATGGACAAGAACATAGAGAATGGGCTAATACTCAGTAATCATGTGATCTGAAACAAGTTTAACCTATTTCAAGATTCAATCTAAACTGGGTTTGAGTCTGAGTCAATACAGAGTCGAGCATTTAGCAGCTAAAAGAGTTGGTGGAGACCAAAACAGAGATAAAAAGTAAATGAATGCATTTCTAAATGTAGTAGCTGATCAGAAACATGTCTCTGCAGATAGTCTTGCTCAATAACAGTTTGCTAAAAGTGGAGCTATATCTGCATTATAATGTAAAGTTTTCATCTTGTTCTCCTGCCCCTACGTGGGGTTAACATATTTAGACAATAAGTAATTGCCGCTGTAGGATCTGGGAAAATATGTAGTCTGTATGACATGATTTTAATTTTTATAAGTGCAGCTTAGGTTTTAACATAAAGTAACCACAGAAACAAAGCAGAAGCAAACAATGCATGAATTAATTTTACAGGCATCTGGTTTCCATGAATAATGTCTTTACCACCAGAAACACTGACCAAGGTTATTTATCCAATGATGTTCGAGAGAGTCAGAGGTGACACATTTAGAAAACTTAGAAATGGGATCTGATCAGAGAAAGAAAAAGTCAATTTAAAGTCTAAACCATCAGGAAAACAGAAATTGACCTAGATTTCCATGTGATTTGATTTGAATTTGAAGTATTTGATGTAATTTGGATTAATCATACCTTTGTGAACATGGAGCTTTTTATTAATTCAAACACACTTCACAAATCATCTCCTCATGACTGTCGTAACTCCACAGGAAGAAGTGAAACACACTTGATGCCTGTCAATCAGAGGTCTAGAACACCTTGCAGGCCCCTGCCCTGGCAGACTTGATTTGATAATGGTGAATATGTTATGGTACAACTGCAGTCCACGAGTGCTCGGTCTGAAAGTTCAGAGGGTGGACATTAGGATTCAGCTGCAGACACGTGTGTGCCACTGAACCTTCTAGTCGGACGACTGCTCTTCTCCTCAGCCACAAGCTGCTTTCCTAACCTTCTTCACAGCAAGTATGTGGGACTGTCTCCATGCTGCAGTGGACAGGACATGAACTGTGTCTAAATACAGGGCCTGCATCCCTCTGAGATCTATGCGACCCAGGAAGGAGGTGGTCTTTGTGGGCCACATAGGCTGTGAAGGCCAAACCGAAATGACACCCTCTGTCTTACAGAGGCCTTTCATAATCATTGTCACCAGCCTGCCCTGCCCTTATTGCTGTTATCACAAGAGCTGAAGTTGGACACGTTGGACAAAGTTTTATTGCCCCTTGGTTTTTTTTAACCTTTGTGCCTATAGCTGTTTGGTTTAAGCATGATACTCAAGCATCGGACCTCACATTATCTCTTTGACTAACGTTGGGTAAATGCATCCTGGGATAGGTATGACCAGGACGGGTCTACCCGTTGGAGTCTTTGTTTCTAGGGGATAGAAGGATACATCTGTCGACTGCATTTGAAGGAGCCTTCGAAATGAGACAGTCTAGACGTGAGGCCTTCAAATGCAGCCTCTGAAGAAGAAGAACTGAGACACAGCTACTGAGGCACTCCCAAACAGAACTTGATTTTTCTGAACACTTTCCTGTTCATTTGTGACATTAACAATACCTACGCTCTACAAGGAATTATTCCCCACATTTGCCTTTATTCTGCTAACTAAACAAGGCAATATTATTATTAGAGATAAGTATTTAAACTTAATATGACACATAAAACACCTCAACATTATGGAATATTTGTAATTTGCACAAATTTCTCATTATAACCTCAATTAAATTAGGATTTTGTAGCTTTAGGCCACAAGTTAGCCAGACTGCATTTAATGGCAGAGTTATTTGTTGTATTTATTAGTCACATAAATCCAACTTTCTATCAAGAACAACAGCAGCAAGAACCTGAGCAGGAGGAATGATAAAAGTTATTCCACAGCTATTTGTGTGTTAACAGCTTATGCAAATATCTAATGAGTCAAGCCAGTTAAAGAAAACAGAGTTCTACAGCACCGACTGTGATAAAGTACTTTTGTTAGATACAGATGATGATTTAACTTTCCTTATAATGAATTCCACAAACAGTAAGCAAATATACAGCTGAACCCAAAAACTTATTTACACACTGTCTCGCCAACGCGTGCGTTTCGGAATTCCGATGTTTTTACCAGTTGGTGAAGGCATCTGCGTGACGTCGCTGTTTATGTTTCATGGAGGGATGTGTAGTTTCCATCTACTATGCTAATGCTAATGCTAGCTTAAAAGCTGTTTAAAACCTGTTTAAATCCAAGGTACGTCTTCGCAGCCCGTGTTTCGTTTGCATTAGCTGAGACATGTGAACGTGCGCGTCACTGAGTCTGATTCTCCGTGTGTCCTGTGAGGCCGCTCAACTTCAGCTGAGGGGAGTCTGTGGCTGCAAGTGAAGCGATGGAGTCGCTGGTGAAGGACAACCCGATCCTTCTGCCCCTCAACTCAGACAGGACGGTCTATGACGGGTTCATCACCGTCCAGGTAACTCCAGCTAACTCCAGCTAACTCCAGCTAACTTTAGTGCATGCACTTGTTGGATGTTCTGAGCAGAAAGCCTCTCCAGTCTGCACTGAGAGATGTAGGAATTTAAAGATATGTAGATTTTACTTATGTAGTAGGTTCTATTAGACAGTATCTACATGTTTATTCGGCACCGGCACTTAAACTTTTGATTTATACATCTAATACATCACCACTAAAAGTATGCCAGTGCTATTACTAGTTAGTTGTAGAAAGGGAAGAAAGAAAGTGCCAATAGTTTATTTAGAATAGTAATATTAACTACTCGCCTACGCCGAATTGAACAGTTGCTATCATTGATTCAGACTTTACTAAAAGATAAGATGCATTTTAAAGGTGCCTCCTTCTGTACGTAGAGAAACTTACGATTTTCCAATTTCCAAACGGATTTCGCTGCTGCCTCCGTCAGTCAGTTTGAATAGACATGTTTAAAACAAAGTATTGAGCTCTCTGTTTCTGTCATAACACAGTCTGTTTGTCATTTGCTGTTTTGTAGGAACGAGACTTCAGACTGAGAATAGTGCTGCCACCAGATCACGAACTCAAACGGGCCAAGTGAGAATTATCATGCATCTTCTTCGATCTGTCCTACATGTGTTATGTTCACATTATCAAGGAAGTGTAATATTATCGTGTTGAGCAGTGTGTCTAATTATAAATCCCTGCTCCTCCACAGAATGGGTGTTTTATTTTGGCGTTGTTGTTGTTGTAACTGTTTATAACTTTGTATTGTAGGTTGCACTGCAGCTGGCAGGTAAAACACCTGTTGCGTGGATATGAGCACATAGTGAAGCAGGTAAACTCTACACACACGCACACACACACGCACACACTCAGCATCTCGCTTGTTGCATCGTAACATTTCAGTTGTGTTGTGTCAGTCAGCTTTGATTGAGATCGTGTTGATTGTCCTGTGCTTCCTGTATTTATTTATTTATTTGTGTGTTTGTCATGTCATTTTTTTTTTTTTGGCTCCTTTGTGTTTGCGGCGTCGTGCCAGGCGTCGTTCCTGTGCTCTCTGTCACCCGTTAGGCTGGCCTCACTCAGAAGCAGAGAAAAATATTTTTCACTGTTTAATTAACATCGCCTGGAAAATGTCCCTATTTGTTATGTGGCCCCTCAGGGTTATTTGGATGAGATTGATATTTCACCCCGGGCTGCAAAGTTCATTATTTTCACAGCCTTTAAGCTATCATTAATTATTAAAGCTGGTGGCAGCCCCCATTAATCACAAACGCTGTGTTTGATTTGAATGGCTGGCTAGAGGAAAAAAGTAGACACTGTCACTTCATTATCCTCACATGCAAGGATGCCTTTTTCTCTTTTCTCCCACTTTCTCACAGAGGCTGCAGCAGTCGGCCGATCTTGTCACTTTCTTACTGGAGCTGAAGACTGTCTTGGTGAGGAGGAGAGGGACATGCTGTGTTAACACATTCACCTTGATATTGTTGCTTTAAGACTAGGTAGTACATGGGAACCTTCAGGCACTATCAATAACCTTGATAGCGAGGCACACATGTACTTACTGTACATGTTTTTTTTTTTATAGATTATTGAAAAGCCTGTATGTTTGCAGCCAAACAAAGGCGTGTGACCTATTGGCCCTGATTCCATTTTTGTATTCATCTTATTTGCTTTTTAGCAGAAACATAATGGTGCATGGTTGTTAAGTTGTGCAGTGATGTGCATAGTAATCTGGGCTTAATACAAGAAGCGCTCTCTGTGTTGTTGCAGGAAGTGGGTCTGAAGAGCCGACCTGAGTGCAGCTCCATCCCACCTCCTCAGTATTACTCGCAGCTCATCTCTGAGATGGAGACCCTTGGATGGGACAAGTAAGTGAGCCTCGTTAGCGATAACACTGCTTCTAAACAGGCACCAGGAGACCACCATGTTTGCAAGCTTTACATGTCACTTTGAGAGGTGGCCTGCCTGTGTTGTCTGTGGCTTGCTGATTCATGGTGGCATCAACCAACTATGGATCAATGGTACAAAAATCATTATGCTGTGGTTATCTGCTCGTAAATTCCCAAATATTTATTGTTTGATGGATAATAAGTAAGAAAGGGTAATTTCCAAAGGACATTTAAACACATCTTAAGCTGACAAAAGTACTGGACAGAGGATTTACATATATCTACTAAGTCCATTTAATAATTATAAACTTTGAGTAAACAGGCGACCAGTGCTTTAGAGAGCGCACTGCCCTTGTATAAAGTAAAAATACCAATGAACAAGCAGGGACAAATACAAATGTTGAGTATGTAGTTAAGTATGAAAGAAGTCAAGGCAATTTGGCGGGTCAAATAAAACTGTCGTAGTCTGTCACAATCTAGGTTAGTAATGGAAACACTGTGTAACAGCTAGGACCATAATCTGACAGGCATATAGGCAGAGGGGAACTTCTTGAAGGTCATGTAACCTTTTGTTATTTTATGTGACAGTTACTTTCATGACATTTATTTTTTATTGTACAATTGTTTTTTTTGGAGTTATGAATTGCCTTGTGAGCCTGATCAAATTGTCTCATGTGTTCTCATTGCCTAGAAACCATAGGTTGCCTATCCCAGCTCCATGTTATTCAATGTAATTCTTCCTACTGGCTGAACCACTGCCCCCTGTGCACTGTGAGGGAAACTACCATTTAGAAATGCTTAAAGTCGGTTTCTAAAATATTAAACATCCTATGAACCAACGGTGCGATGTTAGGCATATCGGGTTGCTCCATCATCATCATCAGGCTGCGCACAGCCTTAGAGAGCTGCCATAAATGCAAGGTGCACCTCCGTTTGCTTCCAGTTCGAGAGGTAAATGTTGAATTTTTTATTGAATTAGTATCCAGAAACTGAAATGTGAAATTATTTGGTTTCTTTTTCAGTTGGAAAATTGCTAAAAATCTCAGATTCCAGGGTCTCTACTTTGATGGAAGATAACTGGTTGGAATTTAAATACACACTTAAAGCATGTTTATCTGCCCTGAATGCAGTCCTGGCAAGTGCTTGTACGATTGTGCTTGTAAGCTTGTATTTTTATTCCCGCCGCATTTATTTCTCCTAAATGTATCGGAATAAGCGTCCACTGATAATCCATCTGGTTTTCAAAATGGCCCTTAAACATAAAAATGTAACTATTATCAGTATTACAACAATAAACTACCGCTGCAGTGCTGCTGAATGAATCGCCACTAAATGCAAACAGTTGTTTAAATTGGCTCACAGCGAGAATCAAGCGATAATGAAATTAAATTCCCTGTTCCCCTTCCCCACTTACATGGTGCTAGGATTCTCTGAAAGTAATTTGCCTGCAGACATACTTGCAGATGGCGCTTGTTTCATGTTTTTCCTTTTCTCTGTTCAAACTATACAAGAGACTTCATCTTCTGCACCCTTGAATTTAATAGGGAATTGTAAGAAACTCTTAAGCCAGAATCAAGGAAATTATTGAAACAGTACCTCACTGATATTATTTCTTTTGAGTCTTTTCCACAAACTTAGTCTATATAATGAGAAAGCTCAACTGTTTTAATGGTAGTCTGTACATTTCTAGTCTCGATGACGACTCAAAGCGCTTTACAGTACAGTTTTGCCATCCATCCATTCACACACAATCATACAGTACATCTATGTTCAGCACTTTCTTTATCATGCATCAATCGTACACTGCCAGCACAGCCATCTGAGGCAATTTGGGGTTCAGTATCATGCCCAGAATTCTCACCTCACTCTTGTTTATGGTGAACTCCACTGTCTGTTTGTCAAAATGTAAGTTATTTTACTGTGGACAGTTTGTAAAAATAATTATGATACATAAAATAGGTATGACATTTAGGACACTTTGGCAAACAGAATGAGAGAGACAGGTATCATACTGCCGCCCTTTTGGTTTAAGGAAGACCTGCTCTACCTCCTGAGCCACAGCTACCCTTGTAGAATTTAAAAGTATGTATGGAGTCTGTGACTTTTTTCTTGCCTGCACTCTAAACTGATTAAGGAGGCTGCAACACAACCACAAAGACAGCTTATTGCACATTAACAAATAGCTTTTAGTGACTTCCTTATTTTTAGTTATTGAGTTATGGTTAAATCCAGGTTACATTTAATGACTCTCAGGCCACGAGCCGTGACAGGCTCAGCTAATGCCGTCGTCTCCACTCATCGGGGGAGAGGGAGGAGGGGTTGGTGGTGGTTTAGTGGGGAGATATGTCTTCTCCCCCAGCTTGGATTAAGCCTTGACTACTACACTCATTTTCCACTTTCCTATTAATGACCATGGCTACAATTATGATATTAGCGAAATGCAAATGGCTCTAATTGAAGAGTCTCAGGTTTTAATAGGAGAAGGGGAGGTGAAGGTATGCCTTATACTGGAAATGAGACCAACATCATTTTCAGTGTCATGTTGCGGTTAGGAGACATTATACACAGTGAACCTCAATCTCCAAGGCACTCGAGTTTCGTTTGCGTCTTAATTTGTATGGGCCGCGCTAATAGCCACCAGGGGTTTTCAGCAGTAATGCTGTCTGCTTATTGGGCCAGGTAAGTGAGTCGTTCTCTCTCTCTCGGTCTCCATTACTGAATTTGAGAGCGTGGTCATCTTAATTGGCTGGAGATGGCATGCCGTGTGTTAATTAATGGAAAATGAGGTCAAGTAGTTCAGCCGCCATCACTTGGTGGCCCCAAAACATGGCCCAGGATCTGTCTGGGCTCATTATGGGCTGGCACTCTCAGTGCATGTACACAACATTGTCTCTTATCTCAGCGTAATCATCGAGCAATGCATTTTATTTAAACTTTTACATATTATAAATAATATAATAAATCAATGATATCACAAGTAAGCGATGGTAAGGTGATGGAGTGTCACGAGTGCCATGATAGGTTGTAATGATGTGAATAAAGGTTGGTTTGGCAGTCAAATGCTCTGAAGCTAACTGAGTTGTTGTTAAGTGAAGGATTGACAGGAGACTCACAATGAGAAAATTAAGACAGTGTGCAGAAGTTTTTTCCATAATGTTTGGTCCACTGCTTCCTGACGCACCTGTTGCCCAATAGGTTTGTGAATGATTCATCTGTTCTGAATCCAGGCTTTATAGTCTAAAGAGAAACATTCTGAAGAGTGGGCAGAAACAGCTGTTACAAGATGAAATTCTAGCTGCAGCATTCTGAACAGGCTGAAGACTCCATGTAGGATGGCCGGAGAAAAGGGGATTACAATAATCAATTCTGGAAGATGTGAATAAACACATAATGGTTTCAGCATCGCGATGATAGAACGAGACAGACTGTAGCAATATAACAAAGCTGCACAGTCTTAATAATCCTCTTGACAAAAGACTGGAATTTCTGAGAGGAATCAAAAGTCACTCTGACAGATCTCTGACAGTCTGTTGGGCCAACCAGGCCTTGGCTGAGGGAGTAGATGGTTTTCAGTATGTAAATGATTGGTTTAAGTGATTTCAGTGGAATCACAAATAGTATTGGGAGTTAAATAGCTATGCAGGTACATCCAGTAAGTAATGATAATGTCCCAATGAGAACAGAGACATGTTTATTCATTGACCATGTTTACAGTCTAACTAAGTCCTGTGCATGTCATCACACAGAACCATCTACTGATGGCTCAATAATATGACTTCCTCATATTTAGTTATTGAGTTATAGTTAAAGATCTGTTGATCCCGGTGGTCATGAATCATTTTGTCAATACACACACAAAGACATGCACACACATGAGAGCACAAATGAGCGTGGTGTGCACTGTGTGGAAGCAGATCACTTGGCTGTGGAGTTGTAAATGGGATGCTCTCATCAGTCTTCCCAGCAGGACATCTGACTGTCATGCTGTTTCCATCATGGCCAAGTAGGGGCGGCAGCTAGTCCCTGATATCCTGGCATAAGACCCCGGAAGAGAGGATGGATGGAAATTTGTGTATTAGTGATGCACCAATGACTTTTTCCACTGTTAATACAGTTTGTACAGACCTAAAACTTAAAAGTTGGTTGATACTGAGTTCTGTTCTGGGTTTTACCTCTGAATAGTTACATTTTAGATCTTTTTTTGGTTGATATTTAAACAAGAGGGTTTATAGTTTACAACTTTAATCACATTGTAAAATGGCTGATTGATATGACCCCTAAATAATATTGTGAGATTTTAAGTTAACATCACAATATATTTATATATTTAAAAATATTAAAAACTAAGTTGTTTTTTTTAAGTGCTCCATAAATGCTTGATTTAACCCATTGTTAACAATCTCGTCAGTGTGATGAATCAAGTAGTATTAAGTATTAAGTCGTTTCACATAAGTTCTTTCTATTGGACCTTTTTTTTAAACTTGCAAAAAGGGAGGGAATTAGAATCACGTTCAATTTAAAGGTTAAACATTAGTATAGCAGCCAACAACACTTTTTTCTGTAAAGTTATGAAATGAAAAATATTTACAAATGAACTGAGTCTGATTTTTTTAACAAATCAAATATAATTTCTTAACATAGCAATAAACACGCAAGTTACTCGATGTCTGAATGCAGCGAAGATTGTTGATTGATTCTCTAATTGGATTAAATAAAGGGCTGTCATACTCAGATCTGTTGATCCCCAGTCCTTCTCATCTGCATGCAGAAGTGTCCTTGCTGAACCCTGAATTTCCACTCATAGAACAAAAAGTGCTGCTAATAGATGCACTGTATGAATGTGTGTGTGAATGGAAAACTGTACTGTAAAGAGCTTTGAGTGGTCATCAAGACTAGAAAAGCTTTATATATTTACCAACCATTTATCATACATAAATTGTATACCGTGCATGGTCATGTTGACTTAACCTTTCCTATTTATGTCAAAAGTACATAGTGCTAGCATCCTGGAGATTGAGCAATGCGTGTTGACAAATGAAAATATTTGACTTTTCAAAACCTTAAAGAACTTGGACTGTGTTTGCCCATTAGACCCAACAGAAATACACAAATACATCCAAAGTTTCTTCAGTGATCCACTCAGATGTCACGGCTGGGGAACCAGACACCTGCAAAGCACCAACATTTTATTTCAATGACTCAACTTAATTATTGATTTGTTCACTTGGATCTTTGTCACACTCTTTACTTGCTTGTGTCTGCTATGTGGTCTGCTTGACAGGGTTATTTTCTATCACTGTCAGCAGTGATTGGTATTTTATGAGTGCATTCTCTAAGTATGGACCTGAGGTAACCTGGGCATTACCTATTCAAGAAATTCTCAGCTGCTTCTAGATTATTTTTTGCCTGTTTTTGTCCTGATAAGCACTGAGATCAGTATCGACACAGCCTTTAATATGTGAAGGTTTTGTGTGTGTGTGTGTGTGTCCACACACTCGCACTGAGATGCCGATCCTTTTAGAGATAGAGGATGATGGAGGTGAAACTGAGAAAACTTGGATAAATGTGTCTATCAGTTAAATTTGCAGGGAAACTACACTGAGTCGAATTGGCATGATGATGATGTCATGTGTATGTAAGTGTAGATGTAAGTGCGCATGTGACACTTCAACACTGTCGCCCTTCACAGGCATTTGATTGCAAGCGTATGAACGAGCAGACATTTTTATGAGTCGGGCAAATCTGACACCGTTTCCCATCATTCCATCACAAGTGTGTGTGCGTGTGTGTGTGCAATTTGTGAGCAAGCCTCTCACATCACACTCCTCTACCGCACTCCATAAATCCACAGCTGATATACAGCGATGTCAGCCTCAACACAGAGCGTCCATCATAATGTACTGTAAATCTGGAGGTCTGTTCAAATCCTTTGTCTCAGATCAGTGTGTTGTCTTCAAGTCTGAGTCGACCAGAGATGGACTGAAGCAGCAGTAAATCTGACAGCAGCCTTGATGCATGCTTAGGCCACATCAGTGTTTTATCCTTAGCCAGTCAAACGGTTTTAATTAGCTTATAATATGGAGGGGTCTGATTTACCAGCTGACTCATGCTTGAAAACGACATCCTACCTGAAGGCCATTGTAATTTAATTTCACGAGAGCTTGAATAAGAATCTTCTTGCTGCTAAAATCCTTGCAGTGTCACTTTTTTTACTCGGTTGCCGTGGGATGTTGGACATGTCTCTTCTTGTTCACAGTCAGTGTCCAGTATTTTCCTGTCAAAATGTCTTCTAGCTGAATGTACAGCCAAACTTGTTCTGCAATATGCAAAATACCACAATTTTACAGTTATCACCAAGTATTTCTAATCAAATTTCCACCTGTGTTATGATTGGATTTGAAGATCTGAAATCATACAGGTGGAGCCGGCGGACTTGGAAGAATTGGAAGTGGAAATGCCCTGTCCATTTTTATATTGAGTCTATGGTGTCCACCAACTCCTGAGAGAACTTTTAGCTATTGATATGCTAAATGCTTCTGTTTCAGTCTGCTGTTTGGATAGTCTATGGGAGGTTTACCAGAGCGTTTTCACTGAAAACATCTGCCTGCTGCTACCAAAATCTGGTGTTAATGAGAGTGTGAAGACTGAGTGTAAAACATGCTGAAACACAGAGTCCAACAACAACTGGCTCTTTGGGACTGCTGCTGCTACCAATTTAAGGAAGTAATAAAATTCCAACATCAGTTTGTTGGTGATACACATACTATTTATGTGTATTTATATTAAATGTGGTATAAAGTGTATTTTGTCTTTGTTCAAGATGAATGTATTTACATATTTGTATGATTCTATGAGTATATTTTTTGCATTATGTTCTGTAAGAAAAAAAAATTGGACATCATATAAGCCAATACCAATTTATCTGTGACTGTGATAAGCAAATATTGGCCAATGAAAGTGACCCAACAGACATATCAGGCATACTAAAGAAAGTATAATAGAGTAATCTTCAGGGCAGGGTGACCACTAGTCTATTCAGATGATGGGAACTGAAATAATAAGGATTTATTTGAATGGATTTATATAAAGTTAGTTTTAAATTGACATGTCAGTGTAATGTCCTATCAAATATACCTGTTCAGCAATTATTCTTTAAATTAATCCATGTACATTAATGTACAATTACAGCTGAATTGTATCGTTTCATGAAAGCTGTATTAGAGCAATGTGAGCTGGACTCCAGTTCTTTCCTTCAGTGGGGTGACGTGATGGCTGAAGCGCCCTCAGATTACATATAGTTATTATATTAACGGAGTGTTCATACAGTATACAGTGTGTTTCCTGTTTGATGTGTTCCTGGTGACTCAGCATGATATTCTTCAACCCTCAGCATGATTTGATTTGTTATATTCCACATTAAAGCATTAAAAAAGCACTCGCTGGAGAAGAGTGCTAATCAGAATTTTAGAGGAAGACAAGCCTGTCATTAATGTTTTGCTGGATTTGGGTGTGATTGGATGTAACCTGATGTCACCACTTTGGTACCCACAGTAATAAATCTGAAGGCAGAGTTGATATCTCAATATGGCTCTCTGCTGCTGTGATTAATGATGGATGATGGCTGTTGTCAGTACACAGTGTTGTGGGCACCTTTCTCTGATTTATCGTGCATGAATTTGTGTGTGTGTGTGTGTGTGTGTCCATCTTCAGGCTGCTTTTCATAGACACAGAGTTCCGAACACTGAGACTGAAGGCGCAAGACTCCTCTGGAAGGCAGCACATTCTCACTATTAAACTCAAGTCGAAGGTAAGAGACGCATATGGACACACATACACGGTTTACTTAGAGGATTTAATTAGTTTCACAATTATTCATTATCAAATGGAACACTCCACAGTTTGACAGTCCATCCAAATCCGACCAGGTTGACTTTACCAAACATATTTTGGATGTTCAGTTTACTGACAGAAAACGAGTGATTTACATCTCTACACATAAATCTAGGTCAAACTGGAGATGAGGGGGAAAGACATGATAACTCACCGTGACGTAGCACAGAACATTTAAAGTCTGTGGACAAGATCGTATGGTCACGTTTGCTAATGTGCCCGGCAGCAGGAGATATTATCACAATCAAATGGAAGAAAATATGCAATGAAAAGTATTGAAGTTAAAGCATAAAGTAGTTTTTTACAATTATACAATAAAATATATGGTTTACACTCCTGACACTTGGGAACTTTCTTAAAATCTGAGTCAGAATCGAGCGTCTAGCAGAATTGTAAGTATCTCAGCACTGTTGCACGTTCTAGGGAAAAGTGGGTGGGAGTCATGGTGAGGTGATGCTTTCCTAAGCCTGGATGACATCCACTGGGGACATGGAAGGGTAGCGGGACCCCACTCTGTGCCCACCTGCCCACCTGGCCCTCCTCACCCCTCTGGCACCAGGTAAAAATAGCTTGGAGTGCTCCCCACGTTCCAGCTGCTTCCATCAGATCCAGCGCCAGGTCATCCCTCACCAGGCACAGCTAGGGGAGGAGGCAGCACTGGCACGGACACATGGAGGCTTGGCTGGCAGGGGGAGTTAGGGAGGAAGAGCGTGGGGAGAGGACGAGGAGTAGTGTGATGTTGAAGGTGAAAGGAGACAGCAAATCTGGCTCGTAATGTTGTAAACAAGCGCCTTCTTGATGACTTTTAATGAAGTTTTGGCTGAACATGACAGACGATATTCAAATGGCTGAGTGGCAACTAATAACTCCCAGCAATTGAAGAACAGTTTCTGTCACTAGTCATTAAAGACAGGTTGAATTACCTGTGCTTTAATAGCTGGTCAGTTCATAATATACATTATACAAGTTTCTCTTTTTAACTCAAATATTATCCTTCACATTAAAAGCCTCCAAGGAACAGTAGGGATTGTAAGGAAAATAGAAATGATTGCAAATATTTATCAAATGAAAACACCTATTCCTTCCTCCTTCCACTTGACCCACACTAGGTACGTGTGTAGCACGTGACAGCTGCGTCGCTGTCTCTGATCTGCTGCGTTTTGTGGGTATGAGTACTATATTTCCTGTAGGTCTTTGTAGTTAAGAAAATGCCAAGACATCTCAGGTCCTACATTAACAATACAAACCTGTGTAAAACAAATGAATGGATTCAGTCAACTTTGAGTTTTTTTGTTGCAACTGAAACAGGTACAAGATGTTTGGAAAATATTATGTTTGTTACATATTCAACGGATAGACATTGAAACTGTGGTGAACGGTCACTGTCTATTGTGCTGTGAACCACGTGTGTACATGGAGAAGGGCAGTGTGGCCACTCTCACCTTGTAATGTATAATTTCTGGAATGAAAAGCAAGATGTTCTACGATGCACACGTGTCGCTCACACATCCAGTGTGGTCTGAGTGTAAGACTCACAGAAACAGTAAAACAAATGAAAAAGAACATCTTTTGCACCCTGCAGCACCCTGCAGAGGCCCCTGAATGCTCAGCTGACCTGCCCCTCCCTCTGGCCATAACATGGACACCACAGGTATGTAAAAAAAACTAAATTGTGATTTTCACAAATGTAAACTGATGTACTTCAATTACAAGGGTAACAGTATTCCAAGCAGCTGAGGCTCAGGGGGTAAATGGTCATCCTCTGACCAGGGGGTCGGCGGTTCGATCCCAGTCTTCCCCATTCCGAGGTGTCCTTGGGCAAGATACTGAACCACAAATTTCACCTGCACATAGATGCACTGTATGAATGTGTTTGTGAATGTCAAACTGTACTGTAAAGTACTTTGAGTATTGGTGGGAGCTTGATACCATGGCTCTACTCCACGATCACTACTGCCCAGACTCTGGCACTTAAAACTGACCTTTGTGACCAGTCACAGTTCTCTACTGGCTCTGTATTCCCATGTATAGTTATGGTGGTGCATGTTTGGCGTGGGTTAGCTCTGAAGCTATGCTGTGATGCTTGCTGCACTACAACAGATCCACCTAATGGTGTGTCTACACAAGAGGTGTTTCAGCTGCTTCAGTCATCAATCTCACACACACATCTGATGGAACAGACAGTTCCTGCTGCCTACATCTTTCAGCTACAACCGCATCATTGAGTTTGCTGATGACAAAACAGCATCGGACCTCATCAGCAACAATGAAACAGCTCACAGGGAAGAAGTTGACCTGCTAACCGTGTGGTAAAAGACCAACAGCCTTTCCCTAAATAAAAAACATGAAACTATAGCTGACTTCAAAACCTTCCTTTGCAGCTGAAGACTGTTCAGAGAGATTTTTGTGAAAGAATGAAGCTCAGGGTGTAAATTAGACTGAGCCGAGTGGAGCAGAGATAGCATTTTGAAAAGTGGTAGGGATGTGTTCCCTCTGCAAATCATGCCCTTCTGACATTAACTGTAATCTGCTCTAATCACTCTAGTTCAGTGCCTGTTCTAAACATATTTGGAATGGGTTGTTTGCTTCATGTTGTATTTTTACTTTGTTGGCAAATTGCCTAAGAGGAAGTGATTCTATGAATGTTGCCATCACAGAGATCAGCACCTATCCATTTTCACAGAGTGAAATAAAAATAATGAAATAATCAGCGGGCCAGTGCTGTAGACCACTGATGTAGTTTATCTGAGGACTGTGGAAAAGGAAATGTTCGACTCGGTTTGTACACTGACAGTTAAGGCACGCTGTCCCACCCCCTCTAATTGCAAAGTGCTGGTTGCTTTATTAATACTTAAAAAAAATTGAACATATCAGAATGCAACACTGCACTTCTTTAGGCCCTTAACAATACCAAGCACCTACAATATATTAATAATACAAAGTACCAACAATATCTTAATAATGCCAAATTTGAAATTGATAAAATTTTCAAGATATGCATTCCACACACAGACAGACAGGAATTACTAGATTTATAGATAATAGATTTGTAGATAGATGAATTGTCCTTCAGCTCTCTCATGTCAGTAAATATATAAACAAACATCAGATCTTGATGAACGAAATTTTCAAGTTGTGTCAGTGGAAACCAAAACCATCAACTTATTGAGGGCTGGATTCAAAACCACACCGAAACCCAAGTCAAATATTGAAATCACAGGCTGACACAACCTGTGTGACTTTCATCACGGCAGCTGTATGGTGTGCCTGTATGCACTGAATGGTTTTGCTTGCTTTTGCCTCCATTGCACCTGTTGTCACTTTAATTTGCACCAAAGCAGGTGAAATTGATTCAAAATCACTTGTGCTTCCTAAATGGACAGATTGATAGTTTAACTGACTTGGTGTTGTACTGTGACAATTAAGTGTTCCCTTCAGTTTTATTAGCGGTGTCTGTAATACAGAGCATGTATTTTATCATATTGTTTTCTGTGAATAATCACAGCCTCATACGTGAACAGGGTTATGTTTCTGTTCTGTATTTTGTAGTGAGACCTTCTCTGGCCGTTTGAGACTCGAACTATGATTAGGCACAACACAGATACACTTGACTCATCCTCTGTGACCTATTGCACCTGCTGTATTAAGACAGTATTTTTCTCTCAGCCCCTACAGTCCACTTTTACTGGCAATAAAGTGCTTTGTTGTAAAACCAGCTGTGGGCTCTGTCCCATGTTATATATTCTTTCCCCTCCTTGTTATTGTTGTTTGCCGTCTTGCTTCTTTCACTCCAGCTCTGCTTTTCATCTCTGTCACTGCCTCTGAGTCTGTGTGTCACCAGCTTACTGTCACACACACACACACACACACACACACAGATGTCTTGTGTTTTTTTTTACAGTCGCAGTCGCTTTGTCAATCATAAAAACTACTGCTCCATATCTGAGCTTTGCATTTTTGTTTCAATATATTGTGTGTGTATGTGAGTGTGTGTATGTGCCTGTACACGCACGAGTGTGTGTGTGTGTGTGTGTATATGTTGCTGAGCTGATACATGGCAGGCGTACAGTGAGGACCAGCTTAGAACAGCGCTACCGTATGGAGCCTGTCTGCCTGCTGTGCTGTTGATGGATCTCTCCCACACTGCGACATGAAGTGTGTGTGTGTGTGTGTGTGTGTGTGTGTGTATATTCGCTTGTGCCTATGCCAAGAGTGTTTTTTGTCTGAAGTGTGAAGGGTGGGTGTGTGTGTGTGTGTGTGTGTGTGTGTGTGTGTGTGTGTGTGTGTGGCGCGGGGGGAAGGGCTTGTCTGTCGTCAGTCCTGACATGTTCATTTGAATGAGTAATTATTGCTTGCTCTGTTGCAGGGCCAAGACGTGCCACTCTGTGCATTTGTGTGGAACTAGAATAGGAAGAAAAATAAACCTGTGTGTGTCTGAGAGTTTGTGTCCTTTGTGCCTGCAGAGTATACAAAGGCGATTTTTAACAACAAAAGACTAGATTTATTAAGATAGTGAGGAGGTTTGAGTGTGTAAATAGTCATACATCTAAAATAATAACTGTCATTATAGATGCAGATTAACTTCTCAGAATTAATAATTACATCTGTAAAATTCCATATCCATAGTTTAGGCTGTGACTCTTGATATTCCCTTTTTATTTTTACAGTTTTGATACCTGAGGAGTTAAAGTACTTCAGTAACTAGAATGGCACTCAGTACAGCTCAGACCTCCACCAAGGCACAACAGTCCCCTTACATTTAAGGGGTTAATTGAATTAATTCAAACAAGCCACCTCAAACTGCACACACTCAAATGGATATCTTTCCCCTAAACATTCAATTATTCACTGGGAAATAGGTGAAAATGTCATAAAAAATGTTAAAGGAAGTGGGAAAATATCCTGGATATTGTTTGAATCCATGCCAAGATTTGATGGGTTCTTTTTTGGCCCATGTCCCATGCTTCAACAAAGCATGGTGGAAATCTGCTGTGTAATCCTGGTGACAAACAAACAGGGGCAGCGGTCATTAGAGGCATGAAAGGAAATGAATAAAAGAAGTTAAATAAATATACTTGTCATGTTAACAGCATTGTTGGGTTCAATTTTATTTTTATCAAACTGATTTAATAAGTCAGCTGTGGCAAATGACCATAACACTGGTTTCTCCCACACACAGCCAGAGACAGTACTGGTCTCTACAGCATTCTGTATTCACACCACACACACACACACACACACACACACACACACACACACACACGTTAGCAAACATAAATACACCCTAAACTTAAATTGACAACAATTTCTGCTGGCGTCCAGCTTTGCATTGTCTCTTGTGTTTCAGTCCTGCGTGTGTGTGTCATGCTTCTCTCTGTGTGACTCCCTCAGGCTGCTGCCTTTTAAACCTGAGGATCAATCAGCTAACAGCTCTCACCTGCACTCATTGATCCTCTGGTGCAGGTGAAGGTGCTCTCCCAGCCCCCTCCCCCACTCCACATCAGGCATAGGCAGTTTTTCCAGTAATTTACTTCCAATATGTTAGTTTTTTAATGTTTAGTTTTCCTCTTGGACCATATGAAATTAGCGATATGTATAAGAAGAAATGGTAGAGAAATCTGTCAATATAAACCATATGACAATAGAAATCTGCTCTCTCTGATTTTGATACTGAAGTGTCTCTCCCTCTCATATGTTGAATATTATTAGACCATTGTGGCCAAAATTACAAATCATTTAGCCTATTAAACCCTGTTGCATATGTGTGATGATGCACCTTTATTTGTCAGATATTTAGCTCATCATCCAGAAGTTGAAATTTGTATCAAATGTTATCCATCATTGTCTCGATTGTTTTTTTATCGATCAAGATGTTTATGCTATGAACAGTGCATTTTGTCCACTCCTTCAACGAGCGAGTGTTTCTTACAGATGTTTAGTCATGTCCAGAGGTGGATCAGTTAATTTGGTTAAGGTGAGTTCCTAAAAAATATTTGAATCCACACGGACTTCTTCAGCAAATTGTTCTCATGTGTCGGGTGACCAAGTAAGGTAGATTCTGTAGAAAGCTTTAGTTAAAGCTCCTAAGTTAGCGCTGAGTTTAAAATATTTAACTACACATTCCAAATTTGAGGCAGGTTCTACTTGAGCAGATAAACACACATGCACTTTTAATTAGATATGAAAAACACGGTGGTGGTCAGGGAGGAACACTTGTGTCATGTCAATGGTGAAAACATTCTGACATGTTCCACCCACTGAAATATTGATCATCCTGCATGTTGACGTCTGTTAAATGAATGTTCCTCATTCAGTTAACATGTTGAACGTGTTGATCTTTAAACAATTAAATCACTGATAAGTTGGATTCCAGCCACCATCTGTTCATCTAGACAAAGAAAAACAATCAATGGCTCCATGATGTGTTCACTGACACTGTACAGACTGGACTAATAATCACTGTACCTGGTCATGTTTTGTATTTAAAGATCCAGTGTGTAAGATTTAGGTGAAAGGGAACTATCGGGAGAAACTTAATGTAGAATAATCCTCATGATGTTTTCAATAGTTAGTTTCAACTAAATTGTATGAATTGTAGTTTTCTTTACCCCAGAAAAGACCCTTTATATTTAAATACTTTATATTTACATCGAGGGGACCCTCTCTACGGAGGCCGCCATGTTTTTTACATTAGTCCAGACTGGACAAACTAAACACCTTTTGAGTTTTTATGACAACTGAAGCTACCACAGGTTCTTTTTCATGTTTGGAAGGAGAGGGTGAGGTGAGGGGTGTTCAGCTGCTACATGCAACTTCAACACTAGACATCACAAAATTCGACACACAGGACCTTTAATACCAATACAAGTCCACATATGCAATTCAATAAAAGATGCTAAATTCCTTTGTAAAGGAGAGACTGCTCAGTGAGAGAAGGATTAACTGAAAATAGGTTAAAAAGAGGGAAGTCTAATGTCGTCCATGCAAAGAGGAGTGGATTCTTTCAGCCCGGCTGCTTTTAAGAGCTAAATTGAGGCCAGTCTTAGATATCATAAATAGATAAAAAGAACTGATTGAGACGGCCAAGGAGCCAATCTCAGCTCAGACTCACTGTCTTTCATACTGTCTTACAGCCTCCCACCCTCACCCATGTTCCTCTCTCAGATACAGCAGGAATTCAATTACCAGCTCTTCTTCAGTTTTTTTCTCTTTCTTCTGAACTGGGCCTAGCGTACTTATCCTTAGCAGTAACCGTAATCATGCCACTGGCATTAATTGGGCTGTAATTGCCGAGGCTCTCAGCACCTGGACGATGTTTAATTGTGTGCACTGTGCTGGCACAATGACCCATAATTTTTGGTTCATTTTTTTCACCTAATTTTTTTCCTTCTCATTCCATCTGTATTGCTCTCCCACACCTCCATCAGCCTCCCTTTCTCTCCTCTAGGTGTGTACGCATGTGTGCTCTTTAAGTTGTTTCACTTTTAACTGGTGGGGCTGCACTTTCAGTTCACTCACTTTCTCTCGCCTCAGATGAGATAGAAATAGCGCTCTGCGCTATCAGGAAATAAACTCTTCTTTTTTGTAATGACAAAGTGATAGTGAACTGAAACAACTGGTGAGTGCACGCTCGTGAGCATAAACCAGATTACTATTTACTGTTTTTTCACCCTTATCTGCAGGGCTGTGCTCATCAGTCCATCTAATTATTATTTTTTGATTAATAAATTAATTGTGGAGTCCTTAAAATGTCTAGCAGATTTCCTCAGTGCACAGGTTGATGTATTTAATTGCACAGTGTCTTCCAACAGCTACACACAATTTATTTTTTATTCAAGACAAAGAACAGCAGAACAAGATCACGTTTGCTTAATAAATGATTTAAACAGTTAATCTTTCGTCAGAGTAGTATTCATTTTCTATAAATCAACAACTCCAGCTTTCATTCGAGTGGCTTCACTGTAAAGTAGCGTGTTGCTTCACATTTCCACACGGAGCTTTCAGTAAAAGAAACTTCACTGAAATCATGAAAGTAGTTATTTTATTTTCAACTGCTTTTGTGCTACATAGCCTATGATAGCACTAACGGCTTATTTAACATTGAGTTCAGCATTGAGCTCAATTCTTTACTCCAGGGGTGGAAAGCAACAGCAATGTTAACTCAATGTTCTGCTTCTATTTCTATCATATAGCCCCAACCTGTGTCATCACTTTCTGATAGTGATTGACTGTAGCATCTACTCTGCCCTGAATAAGTGGTGCTATAGTTGGAGGACGTATTGTAACCTCTTGTCTTGTGAACGCAACAGTAGCAGAAGCTCTTGACCAAAACCATCACCTATGTCTGACATGAAACCATATTGACTTGCAGAGAAAATTTGCATTCATGATTTATTTATATTTATTAATAATAGAATAGTTTGATATGTGTTTTTTTGTTTGACAGTTTGTTTTGATATACATGTTTATAGCCAAGATGTACTGTAGCTATTAGAGACCAACTGACACATTTCATATGTACATATTATTTGCAATAATAAGATAAGATATTCCTTATCAGACCCTTATGACAAAGAAATGTGTTTGAGGCTGATATTTTACAGAAACTATAACTTCATATTAATAAAAGTAAGACACACATACAACAACATATGTAAAACATTTTCTATATAAAATGTTTTCATAAATGTACACCTTGTTCTGTAAACGTACATTTTTCATATCAGCTGATAGTGATGTGTCTGTGAAAGGCTCACATCGGCCAACTGATACATTCTGTCAGACTCTAGTATCTATCAACTTCGACTTGAAAAAGCCTGGATATGGTCAGTGAGCACAGATTTTATTTCAGGTCTTTTCTGCAGGTGTACACAAACTCACTGAGTTAGTTTGCTAAGAAATAGTTACAGCACCATCCGTCATTGAGTACGACTGTTTGTGTGCAGATTGATCTTGATATGAGACGTTAATTCATGAACTTGGCAGGTGTTGGTAGACGTATCTGTAAACCTTGGTGAGAGCCAGCGAGCCATAGAAGCTGGAAATGACAGTAACGGGACATAGCAGCCTTCAGTAACACGGAACACGAAGAGGTTTATTACAGAGGCCTCACTGCTGTTGCTCTGGTGTTGTAACTCACCTCTCTTTTCCTCCTGCACTGGTTTGCTAGACTACTCTAGAGCAGCTCCACAACCAGTTCCTGCTGGTTTTGGACTCCCTGACAGAGTTCTGGGACGTCCTGGACGAGATCGACGGCAACACCTGGATTCTGGAGCCAGAAAAACCCAGCAGGTCCGACACCATGAGGCGGATCGCCATTGGTACTGTGTAATTCCCGTCATCCGTTCACTTAATATATAACTCTACTACAGCGTCTTACTAGATTTCACAGGTTAATGTTAATTATGCAACTGGTCAACAGGAAAAATTGCATTCACAGTAAAACTAATGAATTTTTTGCATGACGAACATTTTAATTGTAATTGATTTGGGTGCGTTCCTGTCTGTGTTTGCAGGAAACAATGTATCCATTAAAGTGGAGGTAGATCCCAGACACCCCCAGATGCTGCCAGAGTGCTGCCTGCTGGGAGCTGAACACGGTGCGTAGGACCCCAAAGACATGGCAACGCTTCAAAGTGTGTTCTCAGGCGGTGCAAGAGCATAAGAAGCATATCTGCTCCATTACACACCCTAAACTGACATGCTGTATTATAGCATGAAAATCCTTTCCTTATTATTATACGCTCATCAGGTGTTCATGAAATGTGCGTGCTGTTTTATTGACTTCACTGATGGAGAGACTGTGGAAATGCCTGCTCACACAAGTGAGAATCCACAGTAGAAGGCTTCCTGCATTATGGTCAGTCAACACACCGAGCACTGTAGCTTCCATCCTTGTGGACACTGTAGTTTTAGTTATTACACATGTATTCATGTATCAGCAATACTGTCCCCTGCTGACTTAGCTTTGATTAGTTAAAGTGTGTAATGACACTAAAACAGCTCCACCAATCAGTTGGGTAAGGCAGCATCTCCGTGGTCTGACGAGCCTAGTTCAAAAAAATCACATTGCTCAGAAAAGTTAGTCAAACTGCTGTGAGCTCATGTATTGGCAGTTCCAGGATTGTGTTGGAACTGTAAGAATGGAATTTGAAACATGAAGACATGCCCAATTCCCCCCTTACCAGTTGGGAACAATGCCTCTGCCAACCGTTTGAAATAAGTAAAATATGCAAATGTTCAAATTTGCCTCATTGTTTTATTGAATCTTTATTGACCTTGATGCTGAGCCAGTTCAGAAAACCTCCACAGATTATTGTGATTCTGTTCAAATGAATTGATTTAGATCTCATGACCTTGTGTGGTTTGCCTGGATTAGCAGATCACGTAACAACTGCGCAACCGATTACCATCACATTTTGTGGAGGGGTGGAACATGACTCAACAAAGAAGCAATTCAACTTTGGTGCGGCTCTGGATCAGGGGGCAGATCCAGGAATCTTTTCACTTTTAACATTTGCATTCATTTTTCAGAGAATAATTCATGGTTCTTAATCAAAAAAGAAAATCTGGTATATTTATGGGACCGATATTTTTGAGCGTTTGTAATTTGGTGCAAATTTTAAATGTGGTTACATAAGGGGTCTGATTGGCCTTGGCGTCATGAGCTCTATGATTGCCCTTCTAGTTGGCTATTTGATTTTTGAATCAATGTAGTCTAAAAATGTAATTAAACAATGAAAAATTCTCAACAAAATTCCTGTTGGCACAAAAGATCATCTTCAGATATCTTTCTTTATTCAAATAATTCTCACAAAAATACTTGTATATGCTATTGGGACAAAATCTATGTTTTGTTGGATTGGTTAAACCATTAATCCGAATATTTAAACACAAATTCATTGCTGATCTGCTAACTGACAACTTGTTTTCGCATTAATGGGAACGATTGTATACTGTGCCTCTTTATAATACCAGTGTTATCAGACTTAATCCAGCTGAGGATCGACTCAGGTAATAAAGTACAAATCCAGTCTGAGCTGTTGTTATTCAGATCAGGTCCGTGAGAAGCCATCAGGTAGGACGGAAAAGAAATAGTGATTCTGTCTGCCGTCACGTCACTGGACTGGCTTTCAGAACGTGGCGCACTTTCCTTTCTTACCGCGACGACATAGAGCAGACCAGAGAGCTTCACATTTCTATTTAAGTCCCCGTCAATTGTCGGCCATTGTTTCTGTAAACTCAAGGTCACGCAGTTCGTAGCCTGTTGCCTAGCAATGCAACTCAAAACATATTAAACAAGTACACACTTCAGCCAAGATGGGAGGCAGGCGGTGACCCTCAAATACGGGGGGTCATGCAGAAATATTGCTTTTTGCATGTAGGAATAACAAGTAGTGAAGGTGATGAGTGGCGCAGAGACAAAGTTCCCTGTGGAACAGAGGCAGCAGTGATGGTTCATGTGGGACAGCGGTGACGCCGCAGTCTGAACTGAAAAACAGCCTCTGAGGGTTGACGAGGATGTTTTTCCGAGCGTTATACTGTGTACAATAGTGTATCTGCAACTGTTTGTAGAAAAAAAGACATTCAATTTACATTCTATGACTTAATATACTGTTGTTTTCTGTGTCGCTGCAGTGGTGACTCCTCTGAGGAATAAACTCAACTCCAACATGCACCTGTGGTAAGGTCCTCTGCAGCAACAAGGCTTTTACTTGTCTAACAGTAACTACAAAAGTTAACAAAGTTGATTCTTGATGTGATTTTATGCGTAGTTCATATTTAAATCAGTTTATTTTATGTGATTTTTTTTTTCTACGAAAAGACCAAAACCAACAACGCATTTGTCACAGAGTCTGACCTCTTAGGGTCACTCAGCTCCAGATCGGTTACTTTTAAAGATGTATGATTGTAAAGCTGGACTTGATGAGCCAAATTAAAACATGTAATCATATGTATTGACAAACCCACATATCATATATAAACCCACTCGGCGTCTTTCATCTCTCTGCTTTGGTTTATTGGCCTGTTGAGGTACTTTTCTGGTTCTGTCTTCCAGCAAGGCAGCTGATTCAGTTTAAAGAAATGTACACACAACATACAGCTGTCATTGAAACACCTTGGTTATGTTAGACGCTGTCTTTCCTCATTATTGTTGGCTAATTTTGTTTATTTGTTGATGTGCTCTGCTACGCCTGACATCTAATGCACTTCTCTCTGTCCTGGGTGAGTGATCCCTCACTTGCGACTCTAGTATTCTGCATTTTTTCCCTGTTGGTAGTTTTTCTTCACTCTAGTCGAGGCTTAAGTTCAGAAGATGTTAAACTCTAGGATGCAAATTGTAATTTGTTAATATTGTCTGTACAAATACAATTTGATTGATTGACAACCTGAACAAAAACGGAGCTATAAAGAAGGTCAATCTTAGACTTGTGTTCCTCGGGCGGTGCACGAACTCCAAACTGATGCTACTGTTGCTCTGTGTCTGCTGGAAGTGTCATTGTGTTTTCTTCATCGCTAGCCAGTTTTCTAACCTGTGAGTGATGTTGAGTTTTATGCCCAAGTAGCCAAAAACCCTGAATAATGTTTCTTTAAACACATGACACAAATATGTTAGGAAAAAAGTCTGAGTCATTTAAAAACATCTGGCCTCTGTGGTAGCCAGCAAACTACAACAGGAGGTAAAAGTGCTTTTGCTGCTGCTTTTCAGATGCCTGCTGGTGTAAATACTCACTAGCACATTTGTTGAGCTAGTGAATATTTAGCAAGATGGTTTAGTGAGGCTAAAAATAGAATAGAAGGTGTGGGAACATGACACCCAGTTCAACAGTGTGGCTCTATGGCGTCAGATATACTCACTGTACTTGTTAATAGGATACATTCATTGTTGGTTTTGGTCTTTACCTGGGTTTTCATGAACATATCTTCTAGCTCGACGTGCAGTAGCTTTATCAGTGTCAAAGTCACAACCCACACACCAGGTCCACTACTTTGCGAGCGTAGAACCATCTGATTATCAGTCAGTGATTAAAAAAACATAATTGCGATTTCAAATCTGTACTGTATTACAAAATGGAGAGTGATTATGTGTTTTACCTCGCTGCATGACAAATCTGAGGAGAATCTTCCTCCCCCACTGTTCAGTTTGAAGCAGCAGATTTTTTTTTTTTTTTCAAATACCATTGGTTAAAGCCTCCTAATCATCCCCCAGTGTTTTTGCAGGCTTATTTGCATGTGGTTAATTAGTGTGTGAAGGAGCTGTCTGTGGTCTGCTGGCAGGAACCCGGACTCCAGCGTCTTGCGCAACCTCCGGGATGTTTTGGAGATTGAATTCCCGTCACCTGCCACCCACGAAAAATCTGTATGTCACACAGTTGCCCCCTCCCATCACGATTACCTTAAGGAGCTGTGTGTGTGTGTGTATTAACATCTATGAATGCATACTTCTGTCTGTGTGTCTGTTTGAGCTTTAAGTTATAAGGGGGCGGACATATTTTTCTGTCTATTTCCATATTTCCCTTTTTCTCTGTGTTTTGTTCTTCCAAGAGATGGGCACACACGTTCTCCTTTAATTGGGTTGTTAACAGATAATATCATTAGAATAACAAAGATGGCAGGATTCTCTTCACTATCAAATCGCTTTAATTATGCAAAACCATTTATCTCTCTTTTTTTAAACGCATGTTCTTTTCCCCTCCCCTCTCTGTGGATGGGTTGAAAGGGCGTTGTGTTTATCCGCTGTCACAGCAGTGATTAATGCCTCAGCTTCATTAACATTCAGAGGAGTGCAAAAAAGTTGAGTTGACCAGATGTTGATTTTTTTTTTTTTTTTTTTTTAAACCTACCATCCTCTGTCTTAATGGATAACTGCAGAAAAACAGGAGCTACTCATTACGCTAAAATGCAAACATGAGCAGAGAGTGTGTGTGTGTGTGTGAGAGAGAGAGACAGAGTGTGAGAGTGATGGTGGGAGTGGGGAGAGAGAGTCAGTTCAGGATGTTAGAAGGTGATGTCAGAACTAGATTTAACTAGATCATTATTTGTTGCTAACTGGATACAGAGGTCCTGCACAAAGCTACAGCATCTGTAGTTTATGTGAACAAGTGTGCTGAATATTCTCATTTCCTTGCTTTCATTCTGTGTGTGTCTGTGTGTAGGATTTCAGCACTGAGTGTGGGATTTGTTATTCCTATCGTCTTGAAGCTGCGATCCCTGATCAGGTGTGTAACGACCCTCGCTGTGGCCAACCCTTCCACCAGGCCTGTTTGTATGAGGTAAGATCACATGCACGCACACACACACACACACACACACACTCACACACACACGATTGCATTCTGTATGAAGATGGATGATGTGTTTGGACAAACTATCAAGGATACAGGCGCTGCTTTTGACGTCATTTGAAGCCAGATATTGCGCAGTAGTGATCGTGGTGTGGACGCACGGTCTAAGGGTCCCGCCGATAACACAAGCCCGACCAATCACAAGTCAGCCTCGCCTGTCAATCATGACGTCTCACCCAGTTTTCATAACATCAAATATCTTATTAAAACTAAACTTATCAGAAACCTGATCACTTCAACGTGTATCGAGATAAGAACTATCCAAAATGATACAAATCCATCATTGGATAAAACTTATGTGATGTGTATTTGGACTTTATAGTTTGTCCCATGTTCAATCTGCTAACATGGAAGAGAAGGGGTATATAACCAATACTGCAGCCGTCCACTAGTTGGCAATTCAGAGCCAGTAGATCATCCATTTTTACAAACACTCATTCACATCACTTTGACAGTTTACTAGTGTTCTATTTGTTCTTCACATAATGTGTCAGTGTTAGATATGAGCCAAACGTCATCCACCTTCACTCTGGTGGACATGAAGAACTTGAGCCTGACAGTTATTTTAATTTGAATCCAAACATATATTTGTTTCATGATCTTGAAATGACAATTGAATTTGCATAATTCATTTGAATAGAAATGTTAAGAGTATCTATTCAAATAACGTTTTAACGGATCTGACCAAAGCAACAGTGTATGCAAAGTCAAATGGAATTAATTCAACACATATGACCTGACCTGTCATCAAAATGTTTTATAATAATGACTTCAAGTGTGAAAAGGGAAAATTACATTAAAAACCAGAACATTCCTGAAGCTACAAAATGTTATGGCTGCGATTAAGTATCCAAATAATGTCTGTTGGGTTAGTGAGTAGGAAGAGTTTCCACTTATTCCAAACTACTTTAAGTACTTCTACAGTAACTCAGGGACACATTTCATACACACCTCTCCATTAATGCACAGGTGAATAAAACAAACTCACATTTACATTTAATAAACCCCTCGACCTCCCTGAAGTACACTGACTGTGTTTACATTGTGAAAGGCTTAAGACTGAAGTGGCTTGACAGATTCCAGGGACCAGATTTACACATTCTCTTTGTTCACTCAGACATTTTTAAATTTTGAATGCTGGCGGTTAATTGCATGTCCAGTAAGAACTCACAGCTATGTAACTGGTGTGGATGTTTTTTTACAGAAGCCAATAGCTCATCATGGAAAGTCATTACAACAGCCTGCTCTCTGTTGTTGAGGATTTCTAGCCACCAGCTTTGTCTTCTCCTGTTGATTTTACCAATGAATTGGACAGCAGACGTCCCTGTGGCCCGGAGTTACTGTCAGAATTAATAGTCACATGGAGGAAGTTAAGAATTCCAGAACGCATTTTTATTGTAGTCATCAAGCAGTTTAACAGTTTTATTGTAAGGAAGTAAAAAAAAAAGATTTAAAAATACTATGATATTGGCGGATATTGAATTAAACAGGCACAGGATTAAAATTGGGAACATGTTTTTCTCTTTAATGTCACAGTTACAAGAGAGAAAGTCCTGTGATGAAGAAGACGTCTCAGTAAAATGGCAGATTTGAATGTAACTGTATTTAAAACGCAGCCATGTGGGTGTGGCCTTGGATCAGATACTGACATCTGATCTCTGGCTGAGTCAGCGAGCGCACACACACATACATACACACACACATACGCACACAAGGCCTTTGGCTTCACACTCAGAGGTAAAGAGTCTGATGCTGCTTCTTGTCAGCTTGTCCCCATCCTCCATCCATCTGCCTGAGCAGGGATTTACTTTGCTTATATATGCTGCATTCAATGATCTCTTGTTAAAAGCTTAGAGAACGTGACAGGCGGACATTGGAAAGTTAAAATGCGAAAGCCCTTAAAGTGCTTCAGAGTGGCAGACAATCTTGAATGTACCATTGAAGTGTGCAGTAATAAGTGTACATTGAAAGTAGGGGATATTATCACATGACACTGACACATTAGATTCAAGGTACTGATGGTTTGTTTTTTTTTCCTCTCCTCCCTCAGTGGCTGCGAGCGCTGCCCTCCAGCAGGCAGAGCTTCAGCACCGTTTTTGGAGAGTGTCCTTACTGCAGCAAGGTACGTGTGCGTAATAAAGGCCTTCACTCCACACTCAATACATATTCAGCATACTTAATTAGCGCCGCTCTATACAACACGTAGCCTTCTCTGCTCTGAAAGGAGACGAGTGTGTTGACAACAATACGCTACATTCAGTCACTCCTACCGCAGCTACTTCTGTGATAAAGGAGCGAGTAAAGCATGTGATACTGAAAGCAGCATATCATTGATTCAAAGTCAAAGACAGTTTTATTTATGCAGATGATTGGGAGTGTTTGGCTGTTCTTCAGCTACAGTCCAATCACATTCAAGAGCCCATTTTCTTTTTTTATTTTCTAGTCATATTTCATACTACTTACAGCTATAAAGCTTGTCTAATAAACAGAATACTATAAACTGAAGTTTCTCCTTCCATTGCAGCCTATTACTGTGAAAATGTCGGCTCTGTCGTCCTGAGAAGAGGCTTCCTGTCAGCTCCGTCTCCACTCTGAAGAAGAGAGGAGCAAAACCTCCTCCAGCTCTTCATCAAAAGGGGTTCAATGCACTTTGGCAAACCGCAAAAACAACACCCAAGAAAAGGGAGACGCCCACAAAGACAGACCAGTACGGGCCTGTCGCCTGTGTTGGACCTGCTGCCCGTGCTGCCCGTCCTGCGCCTGCGAGAGTAGACGTTCCCCAGCCACCGCACCCGTCTCCATGTTCATAACAGAGATCGCTGTCCCACCACCGCTGATGGCTGCCGTCTGCTCGGTGGCTGTGCAGCGTTTCATCCCACCCCCCCCTGCAGGTGCCGTGTGCTTGGCTCTTACTGTCACAACCAGGTATTATTTGTTGTTTTAGTTGGGAGTGGACTCCTCGCTCCCGTCTCGCTGAGGTTGCAGTCGGATTGTTTCTTTTCCTGGAGGTCCTTTTTCCTTTTTCGTTCTGTTAAAGAGAATGATTCAGTGTTTGCTCTTTGACATCTGACAAGGACAGGGTCTGTTCTACTGTGTTGTGTGAATATGTTCGAATAAAGTTGTGAAAGAAATACTGTTGTATGCTTTTATTTATTTCTTGAGAACGACAGGAAGTGTTTCACTCTATATATCTCTAAAACATTTTTGTACTATTCTTTGGACAGATTCAACCAAAACAGTGTTAATACATTTTTCAAATTAAATATACTGTGAAAAAAAAAACCCTGGCTGCTCTTCCACACTGTCCTCACACCTGTTTAGTTCTGGAGCCTATGGGAGGGCCTCGGAGATAACATGCAGAAATGGGTCTGGGTCTGGAAACGTCTTCATCCTCCTCTTCATCCTCCTCTTCATCTTCACTATCATCTTTATAAGTGTTTACAGGTTCAGTCCTTGGCCTCAGTGATCTTCTGACAGCAGGCAATACCTCGTCCTTCTGTGAACAAGCACCAAAAAGAGTATCTTCTAACAATTGTTTTTGACCGTATTATTCAATATATGTGCAGTTACATGAAAATGTCCTTTTATTGGAGATTAATTAAAAGACTTCCTTTTAATGTCAATAATAATTTGGGATCATGTGATGGGAATGATGTCATTATGACAGCACTAGGAAGTCAAGAACATGTCATCATCCAGTGTAGTAATGCAATAACCTCTGCAACCAGTAAGACTAGAGACAGGGTTAACCAATTGTTTTGAAGATAACGTTATAAAATGATTATTACAATATACAAATGTTAGCATGGCCTGGTTGGGATATACACAGTGCACATGCAGGGTATGTCTCACCCATCTAATGCTTTTCATTACTTAGTGGTTCCAGTTCCTACCTGGGACTGAGTTTTAGAGACGACTGGTCCTCTTCTGTATTGAGCCGGCACTGGTTTAGACTTCATACCCTCTTCATCCGTCACTGTAGCCACGGGCTTGGCTTTGGAGGCTCCTCTGGCTCGTCCTGCTTTCTGCTGATCAATAAATGTGGAATCATTTACAGCTGAGGGGTGTTTGAAAAGAAACAAAACCTTGTTTGTAAATCTATAACCTGTCTGTATTGGTCTGTATATGCCACCACCTTGTTGACATTTCTTTTAAACTCTATCATGGGATATCTTCTGAAAAAGGGAGAACTTTAATAACTGTAGTTAGTTATTAACTATGTTTTTTCCATTATACCTTTCTTAGACCAATTTCTCAGACCAATCTTAGACCAATTTCTCTTGAATAAAACTCTTAATGACCATCATAAGATCTAAAATAATATATTCATACGACACTAGTGGCAAATGATTCAGTGAACATGCCCACTGAGCGGCCTTTATCTCGGCTGACATTTACTCTCCTCACTAAACTGCCTGAAAGAGGCCACTTCTGTTTAACTAGGGATCAAACTGGCCAGCACTTTAGCAGGGAAATTAAATGACACAAGGAGAGGAGAGGAAATCAGGAGCATAATTGGAGACATCGTGTGCTGTGTAAAGTGTGTGTCATCAACTGCTTCAAATTGGGCCGTTGAGAGGGCGCTCTCTGAGCCCGAGGGGTCAAGAAGTGATTCTGGTGAATTTCAGGAGAATCGCGCTGCTCCTCCAACTTCAGACCTGACCACCTGTGGTTGACATTCTGAGTGGAGGTGGGGAGCGCGGGGTGGAGGAGGTCAACCCTCCACCTTCACTGCTGTCACGTTTCCCCACTCTGGGGTTAAGAGACTCAGTAAAGGAAACAGGAATATTTGTGGCCAACATTGAAGTTTCTGAATGTTCAACCGAGAGCGAAAAGAAATGATGTAAAATACTCTTCCTGATAAACGCTAGTGATCAAATGGCTCAAACCTTTAAGTTTACTTTCTGTAGCAAAAGTACACAAGCACAAACACACACACAGTGAAATACAGACACATGAACAGATTCTCCCTGTACTCTGCATTACACAATAACACACACGTCTAAAAATGACTGTGGATGTAGCAATGTCATTTATACTTATCACATCAGTTACTGTCAACCACACTTACATTCAAAAATATTTAAAGGAAATAATAAATTCAGGTCATGTGTTTGATGCCGAGCACTGGGCTGTCTCTTATTTGCACCAGTCTACTCCGAACACTGTAACTAGTGCATTAAAAGGAGAATGCTGTTAAGCTGTCAGTGTTTTCTTTTGTTTTCCACAACTATCTGTTGTAAAGGCTGACGTGCACACAGTAATGATCCCTGGCTTCTTGCTGAAGTTGTCCATTTTGTGTTTCCTGGGACACACACAGGGGTATCAGGGTGAACTGGGTGACTTTAAACTGAGTGCAGGACTGCAAACCAAGTGGACTGTCATATGCCTATTATTCAAAGTGACCTCTGTCTAAGTTTTCTACTCAAAGGCCTGATTGATGGAGAGCTGCTGAGATGGTCGACCTTCCAGTCAATTCTTCCATCTCAGCACAGATCTTCTGACGCTCTCTTACAGTGAATATTGGATTCTCGGTCACCTCCCTGGTCCCTTCAGATGACAAATGAACCACCAGATTCCACTTGGATGTGGACGCATCTTGCAAAGGATTTTGTCTTGTTCCTTGCTTGAGTTCACCAAATGAACAGTGCTAACAAGGAGCACTAGGCTCCATTTTAACAGAATGAAACAGGCTAGCTGTGAAAGCTAACTTAAAGGATCTTTCAGAAGAATACTTCAGGGCTACACGAGTCAAAGAATAGTGATTGCTGTTGAACTGACTGAGATCATATCAGTGACTTCCCCTCACCTTTTCCCTGGTGCCAGGATCTACTACCCTTGCGGATGATGCCGTTGCTGGACATTCAGGCATGGAGAAGTCAAGTCTTCCCCCGGCAGCACCGGCCAACAGGTCTTTGGCGTGCTTGTAGTCTGGTTTATCCTGGTAACCCAGAGTTTTGACATAAAGAAGGAATGCAGCCACCTCATCTAAGGACAGGAACAGAGTGGAGTCAGACAACCAGACTATGATTTACAGCACATCCAAATATTTCACTCAAATGTCTCGTGGAACCATTCCGAATACCTGGTGATCAATTCCACGTACAATATAGTTTGATTTTACCGACTGCATGGTACTTTTTTTAAGACTGAATCCTGAATCTATTTCTGGGAGCCTCGAGTCATGCAGCAGCAAAAAAGACATGATGAGCCTAAAAGTGTCACCGTCCATGGCGTCCAGATTTATATCAGCCTGGAAATGTATCCTCACACAGAGAGCAGATCAGGCATTCACACAGCTATGGATATGCATTGTGTCTATGTGTCATACGCAGTCAGCGTAGATACATCACACACTGGCCAGACGACGTCTTTGACACATACTGCAGCTGAACTTATATCTCGCTCCAACATACACACACGTAGTTGATGCATAAACTGTCTCTTATCTGTGGCGGGCAGCAAGCACCTGGCCCAAACCATACATCACACAACCAGGTGTGGCCTCTCCTCATAAAGAGCAGATAACACACAACAAACTTTGAAAGGCATGTTGACGGGACGGCTGTTTAATTGGTATAAAGTTTTTCTGGAGCCTCTGGGAAATAAAAGAACGAGCGTTTTATTCTTCCTCGACTTTGGACAGACTGAGAATATTTCACTGTATAGAATTAAAGGTCCCCTTCACGTCACACATGCTTAGGCTATTTTCAGGGATTAACAAGGGTCAAATAACTGGACATAAATCCTGGTATGTGTCAGGAATCCTCAAAAATCTGGTTTTGGTTCCTCGGAAAAAATCTTTGAACATGAGTGTGCTAATGTGCAGATATGTGTTCATACAGATAAAGAATATCATGTCAGTACTGAAACAAAGATATAGTCCTGCAAAACATTCCCCATTACATGCAATAATAACCTCAGATAAACCCAGTGAAGAGTCACATGCTCTTGTAAAATAACACGTAACCTAAAAAACTCAAACTGAAAAACATGGCTCGAAATGCTTCTGTATAAATAGCATCGGTTTTATTTACACCAGATTGTACTTTGATGGTGAGAAAAACAAGTACTAAATAATCATCATTTTCCATTATCATCAGAAAATAGCAGTTGTTGTTTTTTTTATTCAAAAAGTTATTTTAAGGCCACAGATAAATTCCCAGTGGGTCATAACGTTGACTCATTGTGTTTGGCAGCTGTGAACAACAGCATTTAAACTAAAGTGGAGACATCAAAAGATAAAAATAAAACAGTTTACTGCTCTCAATGAAAACTGAAATGTGATATATATATAACAATTTCTGCTTTTGTTAAATGTAGGGAAGGTAAGTTGTTTATCTAATTTGTTGAAATCCTTTTCACATCCCAAAAAAAAAATAAGGAAACGGTGTCCATGGCCCCTCACATGGACTGTTATAAACAACCAACCATTTCAATCAGTCCAAAAGTGAGCGGGTCTCCGAAAAGTCGGCTTCTAGCAGTTTTCAGGCAGATAGTGATTATTTGTTTTGATGGGGCAATGGGAGGGGACGGGATGTATCAGCTGCATTACTAACTGTAGCTTAAAGCAACCAACAGTCTGCCTAAATAATAAAATCTAAATAAATCAGATCCCTGAATGTTATTCAATGCTGAAGTCCAGGGTTGAGTTTTGTCCATTCATACAGTATAATGAAAGGTATAAGTTATAAAAAAAGTTATGGTTGCAATATATCTTTCTAGCACAGTGGCTCAGTTTGCATTAAAGCTCTCTGCGCTTTGGGAAAAATGGACTCGTAAAGTAAAGTCTATTTGATTTGAATTGTGCCTTGTCCTTTATCTGAATCTCAGTTGCCAGCAGTTGTACTGGAGTACTTCAGAGAAATAAGCTCATGGAAAGAGTCAAGGACCCTGCCCTGGCTTACCTGTGTTGGTTCTGTTCACTGACAGCTGCTGGACTGAGCGTGGCAGATTATCCATCAGTCTGAGGAGGAGTAAAGAAAGATAAAACATTGAAGAAGGGAGGACAAACTTTATAAAAGACAGACAGTAGATAGTGTTAGCTGAATCTAAGCCAAAGCAAACTGTCCTACTTAAGATACTCAGTACATTTATTTGTTGTAATTACTAGTTTAAAGAGTATTACAGCCCTAGAATGTGTTCTAGCACACTGTACCATTCTATATATAGAGAGAGCAAAATAATCCAAACATTTCACACAGCAAGCATTGCAATACTACATTAAAATAGTATTACACCTGTCCAGCAGTCTAACATTTACACAGGCATTTAGTATTTGGGTGTGGTACTCAGATTAACTAGATAACCAGATTCATAATGAAACTGACACAGCTTTTGAAAATAGCTCTACTATCTATGCTGATGCACTGTAGCCTTTGCAAACAAGCCTAACCTAAATGATGCACACAGCCTCTCCTGCTCCTTAACCCTCTGATCTAGAAACAGCACAGGAGACTACCTACCTGGTCTTAGCCTCCTGGACCTGAGCTGCATTCTTCAGAACGCTGTCCCAAGGCAGAGACCCACACAACCAGTGAAGAAGACAAAACCCCAAAATCTGGAGGTCACCACGTCTAGATGGGGCTATCAGGAGAGAAGTAAGAGGTGATTGAAATGATTATAAAGCTGATGTTTTGTTTTGCCTGAAATCATTTTGCATTCCGCTTCTATCTTTTGAGCCTTAGATTATCCATAACCCCATTAAAGGTTTCAGGTTTTATATTTCTTGGCCAAAAGCAGCATTTTGTTCTTCAAAGGTCATGAAGATAGAATTATTCTGAAAGTGTTTTAAACAACAGATCTTTTACACGAACAGAAAGACACAAGTTTCATATACAACATTTTCAAGTTGAAACCAACAAAAATATAAACCTTCAACCCAGCGACTAATTCACTTAGTACATAGTGTCGCCTGTCAATTAGAGATGTTTTTTGACATACTGTAGAAAAGTGACGGTGGTGGTGGGGAGTTCAGTCTGATCTTTTTTATTAATCCGGGCAACTTCAGCATGATGCATAAACAACAAACATTCCTTCCTCTCCCTTGTAGACACTGACTCAATATTAAGGACAGACTGAGAGAGCTAAGCACTACATGTTACAAACGTCAACAATAGTTTTCTATTGACCTCTCATACTTGTGTATTACAGTGATATACTGATGGTAGTTTGTGCTAGCAGTCACAATGTCACTCTGTTTTAATGAAGGACGGGCAAGTGATTATGAAAAATGGGTCTAGAAGTTCTTATCACCACTGTTCAAGTCATTTCATGTCCTTAACGGGGACATAAACGTCCGCACCAGATTTAATGGCAATCTGTCCAGAAATGCGAACCACAAATGTTAACCTATTAGTGGCACAAGAGGAAAAGTCAGGGGTAGGAGGAATGTTTGACAATAGCTTTTTTTTTTTATACATTTTAGATTCATAAAAAAAGGATTACTTCTGTCGAATTGATGAAGTTGTAGAATGAAAAGCCTGATATAAACCAGAAAACTGTGCTTTATACACCTTCTTCTTCTTCTTCTTCTTCTTCTTCTATACACCTTATATCCATCTGGTGAGCTGTCCAGTGTCACATTGACCTCTGTTATCATCACCTGTCACTAATTCAATCACAGTTAGTTTTAC